CTGAGGTAAAGGTGGTGCTTGATGTGATGGAGACAGGCAAGGAGCCCATAGTGAACCAGGAGGGAGTGCACATCCACCCTCAAGAAAGCATTTATTACTCCCCTTGCCCACTCAACCGCCCCCCTTCTGGCAGCTGTTATCAGCCAGAAAGGGCAAGGGTCAAGAACCCAGGTGATAGCTCTGACCTCTGCAAGGATCTTGTCCACATCCTTCATCTTCACAAGATGAAGGGTAACCATACAAATCATATAAGCAGATGCAAAAAATACATGGTCTGAACATGCATCCACACTAGCATCTAACCAAAGCAGATCTGTGCAATTTTGTCTGCAAAGTAAGTAGTGAATTGATCACAGTGGACCACCATGTGGTCAAAATCCAGTTCCATGGGCTACAGTATAAAAGCCCCTGAACTACACAAAACAACTCAGCTTGACAATCATGTACAAATGCAGTGGTGGGGGAGAAATACTGTCTTTTTGCTGCCATCACCCCCACATAATAGGTTCTTATATGGGTTCTGTGTTGTGTCCAATAAGTCTTGATTCAGCTTTTTCACCAGCAGCACTCTAGCCATCATTCCTTCCATTTCATTACCATCAGTTCCCTGATAAACCAAGGAGGCTGCTTGGCTCTGTTCGGAGGGGAGGGGGTGGAGAATGTGCAAAGGGGCAATTGTGTCGACTGTCCAGGCTATTTCCCTGTTCCAGAGAGCAGTCAGGGCCTTGACAGAATTGTCAGCAGGCAAGGTGGGAAAATCCCTAAACTCTGATAGGAAACCATCATCTGGCATCTGGGGCGGACCATCTTAATGGGTCCACCACCCCTGTAGAGGAAGTAGGAATCAACATGTCAAAATTCTTATCACGTTCCCCATCAGTATAATAGACCAGATCCATTGTGTGTCCTAATAAATGTGTGGGGTGAATAATTACTTGGGACAGGCCCATGTCATCATGTCAGGGGAGCCCTTTAGGATGGTTACTCATAGATTTTTGGGCCAATCTTAGAGTGCTCCCTCCAGTTTGCAGCCATTTTTCTCCTGGAATCCTCTGAGGTGCCAATGGGCAGCACTGAGGTTTGCTGGGAGGTCTTCTGCCATAGCAGAACACCTGGCAAGTCTGTCTGGTGCCCATACCTACTAACGTGACTACTGTCAATAAGTCTTTGAGGTTCTGGGTAGAGCTTGGATGCAGAATATGAGCATAGATATAGAGATAGTCAAGTAATTAACTTCTCTTGGTTTCCAGTGACTTGGGAAAGCCCTCAGTCTCTGCCTGGGGGGCAGCAGGCTCTTTTTCATAGCAAAAAGCTCAGTTTGGTACATGACTGGTGGTGCATGCTCTGGGTACACATACTGCTTTACAAAAACTGAGAATATCGTTTGGAATTCTGCTGAAACTATCAAGTGACTATACATATTTTAAAAAAGTAATGGAGGACAAGCTGTTTTTCATTAAAATGTTTTTGTTATCTTAAGCGGAGTACATTGAAGGGTAGGCTTAGAATGATGTCTCTGTTTAAGATTGCACAGAGGTTTTAAAGAAATGCAGTTTGCCCTCCATTACTAGCTTCCCTTGATAAGGACATTTTTATATTCTTAGGCAAGATGGTCTACGGCAGACAAGCAGTGCAGTTCTAAGCAGAATTACACCCTTTTAAACCCATAGACTTCCATAGACTTGAAGGGCGTAACTCCACTTAGGACTGCACTGTTTGTATGCCACAGATTTCCTTGTCTAAGAATCCTTTATAAACTTTCAAACAGATTCAAAGATTTTCAGTGCAGTTTGGAAAGCACTGGTGTAAGCAAATGATAAATATCCTAGTTATAATATTTAATATTGTATTTGTATATCTCTGATTCTTTGGAGAGACTTTCTTCCTAGTCCATGTCAATGTCTAACAGTTTATATAGATATCTTATACTTGTTTCATAATATTTCCAGTCTTGATCTTTGTTCTGAACATTGCTTTAGAAAATTTGTCTGTGTTGTCTTCTAGGATGATAACTTGTGGAGTACACCAATGCTGTGTGGACAGAATATGGAATTTTTTACTGAAAGGCCAGGTTTCTCTTGGCCTCCTTTTATTTTATTTGCTATTGGCTACTTCTGGCAGAGGTAAGTTCTTATTTCCCAAATTTATCTACATATTTTTTGTGTAAAATATCATTGCCAACTGGGTTTTTAAGAAGTCTGATTAATACTTCCAGAATTATAATTCTACAGCAGGTATTTGTAGCAATACTATCAATGATACTGTCACATGATTAACGCTACATTACGTAGCTGATCAGTCGCATCTCCTGATGGGATATCGAGGGGCAGAGCTCAGAGGCACTGACATGCAGGGCAGCTTCCTGCCTCTTGTGAGAGTAGCTCTGCTCATGATCAGTTGAGCTCTACCAGGTTGCATGCATGAGTTGTAGAGTGATCTTCAAAAGGGCTTGGGAAGGTGCCAATGGCTGTTCTCTCCAGTCTGAGCAAGAGGGGAGCTGATGAGGCAATGAGGAAATCCCTCTCAGGCTGTAGATCATACCACAGGGCCAGTTGCTACTGGGAGAGCTAGGCTGGGAACCCCCATCCCAGGTTGGCATCCTTGTAAT